TTGTGGGTTTGTAGTATTCATTTCAATTTCATATAACAGATTACATGTAGAATAACCTTAACTCATTCAATCCCAATAAAGTTCCGAAATGTTAAACATTTGGTAGGGAAAGACCCAAAATGTATGATTTTTGTATTCCTGATTTCAAACGACTCTGTTAAGTTGTATTGACCGGTCTAAAAACATCTTTTTAAGCCTCAAGTCCCGAAATCTCACCTCTAGTGTGTGTTTCTGGGTTTGTTTTTAATATGGACAGTGACATCGTTGAAAATCCATAGTTAAGTGCTGTAAATCAACGTATTTTGTTTGTATTGGCAACCCCTGGGCCTCTGACCAAGCACAGTCCACTGGTGCGCCAGCAGGCAGATCGATGCCGTGTCCCCGTTGACTCCAGGTTGGGTTTGAGGGTCGTTTTCCGCACGGGGTATGGCGTACAGGACACGTTCAGATCGTCACTGCGCTGTCCTTCGTGCCCAGCTCAGTGGGCTGAGCGTAATAGCATAGGGGCCTACCATACATATTTTGGAACGTCAAGCTTAATTGCAGCAGTTTTGGACGCCAAAATGTACTATTTTCATTTTAACTACATTTGCAGCAGGTTGAGTCAACAGCATCTCCTTTTACTGTAATTTTACAAGCAAGATGGCACGATACAATAAATCAGTAAATCACTGATTTTTTATTAATCATCATGATATCTGCAACCAAAAGCCCGGGCAGAGAACACATGGAATGACGATTACTGTACAATTCTAAAATATTTCCGACTGTGCACATCCATATTATTCTTTTCAGTACGGCCCGTGTGGAATTGAGAAATCATTATTCTGTATTATTGCCCACTTTGTGCTTCCAAATTGCCCCATTCGGCTCCATCTCTGTTCTTTTCCACAAAGCACACAAGGCCATCAAAAAATCTAATTATGGTATTTTGTTCAGTTAGGAAGTGTATATACTATTGATCTATCTTTCTAATAGTTTCTAATTCGCAGGGAATCAAAATGTTTTCACTTCAGAAAAGTATAATAGTTGACAAGCCTGGGGAAACATAAGTCAGTTGAAATGTTTCCACAATCCTACAAATGCCAGTGCAGCGAAATGCGATGTGGGTTAAAAAGAAATCTGCACGTTTGGTGATCGTAAAGCGTCAATCAAAGGGCGTTCAGTATAATGTACAAATGTGCACCACATCTTCCATGTCATGATTTTTTGTGTCTGCTACGGCCCGCAAGATCACTGCTGATTTCATTTCTTTTAACTCATACCAGGAACAAACAGCACTAACAGTTTTGAAGCAGGATGTTCCATAATACATGTAGTCTGTTCAAATTTCTGCACACTGGCTACGACAGGCTAGGATAACAAAGTGAAAGGACATGCATACTTTCTTTAACATCCTCAGGATTTGCTGTTGTCAAGTTGAAAGTAACCCTGGTGCCAAAAACTGACAATAAAATGTGTCAGCAACAGCACCAGAATAATTTTCCAGTCTTTTGAACAAGACACTGTGTATAAGTATTCACCTACATCCTCTTTGTAACAAGCAGAGACACATGCAAGACTAGGGATTTTATATCAGGTTTTGCCCTTAGACGGACGTATTGTATATCCACGTCGTAGTCTCAATGTGGTCCGACAGCCGCGAGAAAAAAAATCATAAGCTTTCTTTTTTCGCAACTCTCAGAAGATACCTTTATATATGCCGGCGTAATTAAGGAGAGGAGCTGGTATGAAGTTTAACATACCGACGAAAAAAGCTACATTAACATCTCTGACTGTTTGCGGAACCAGCTCCAACCACTCAATCCAAGCTAGCTTGTTTGTCAAGTGGTTGAGACACCTGCATCAATAAGCTGAAATTCATGGGTTTGAATCCCACCCGAGCAAGCTGGTGATTTGTTCACAACTCTCCGATTACACCGAGAATGCGTCAACATAAAGGGAAACCTTGATTAAGATTAACATCCCCGACGCAAAATCTAGTATTTTTGACTAGGGCTGTGATCAAGTCTGTCATAGATCCATTCAAGTCCATCAAAAGACTTATCACAAGTCATCTGTCTCTATGGGCTCCGACCTCGACCAAGAGATCTCTAGCAACAGAGGCTCCTTTGGTAGTAGCACACAGAATATGTATTACCGATTGAATAATGTAAATGGCTGAACCTTGCACTACATTTACGTTTGGCTTCAAGATAGGCCTGATTTACCCGTTACTCGTTACAATACGAAACTTAGTTTTCAAGTAATTCTTCAGTACAAAACAGTTGACATCACATCCGTTGGTGAAAAGGAACTACTGGCTTTTGCCACCCTGAGTACTTTGAAATACTTCCTGAGAGTGCATTTTGAAAGACTTGAAGATCCTCCGTTATTTTATCCCTGATGAATTTTGTGATATTTCAAAATGAAAACAATTTGTAAATGACGTATGGATTACAATTGCTGTGTATTTTCAGGGAGGATGACTGACGTCAGATGAGCAAAAACAGACCGCTGTTACTGAACTACATGAAATGGTCTTGTTCAGGTCCCCTCAGTTCTCCAGCAGGAGCTCCTCTCTAAGGGCAACTGTTTTCCCCCAATCTTGTTTTCTTCTGAGGGGTGACATGATTTGACGGGTTGTCATCAATCCGTTTACGCCCTGACAGCCAAATTCTGCTTCCGAGCCCAGTGCCGCCTCCGTAGAAGAGGAGACCAGACAGGACCTGGGAATCTGTCTTCAGCTTCTTGACACTGCTGAGGAACCTCTTCACTGCTGGGATGTACACATCTGGGTGCCTCGTCATCTTATTCCGCAAAACCGAGACAAAGTCCTCTTGGAGACACTCAACAAGGGTCTGGACTTCAGCAATGTGAACCTCCGGAGGTATGGGTACATGTACATCATTCTTAGTTGCGTCTACATCCGACGGTTCAGGGCAGGACTCAGGTGGAGGAGCTTGGTTATGGCAACCTTCTTGTTCAGTGTTTGGAACTGGAGAATTGGTTGACACACAAACAGTGACATCAGTCTGATGGACGAGAGGCTGCAGCCACTCGGGTAAGCTGCTGTTGCCAGTGGCTACATAGTAGAACCTGGCTTTGTCCCTGGTGTTGCTGATCGGGATGAAGCTACAACACTGAAGGTTATACTTCAGCGCAACTGCGTTCTGGTGCTTGCACAGGGCTCCCCCGGCAGCTGGCGTTGGGCAGGTGCAGTGACCAAGTAAGGTGTTGACAGTGTACTCGGCGTCAGGCTTTGCGAGACTTGCGACTGTGAAAGCACACTCTGAAGTTTGCCTGATGATCAGCTCTCCCTCCGCTTCCTGTGGCAGGTATCTGGAATATTTGACACTGTCGAAGCAGCCACTGACCACATCTAGGATCCCTTGTGTGTGGTACTTCTCCATTCTGTCCAAGACGAAGTCGACTAGCTGGACAACATTTTGTACCTTCAGTCGGTTCAAGATCTGCTCCTTGAGCACCCTTGTTGCTCTCTCACCATAATCACTTGTGAAGCTACCTTGAAGCTGCAGATCTTGTCTGCAGCACACTGCCCAAGACTTGGACCTACTGTACCATCCTAAGAGATATTGAGAAAACTGCTTGTACTTCATCACTACAGCATTTTGTGCTGCTCTCTGGTACAGGACATCCATCTCCCCCAAAGATTGGCAATATAGTAAGGATTTTAGGATGCCGAACAACTCTGGCCTGTCTTGTTTCTCAATCTTCTTCTTACTGTTCCATAACCACCGCCAAGCAGCCTGCAAGATGTGGAAGACACTCAGAAGCTGGCTGGACTCGGGAAAAATTTCTCTGAGGGCACTCTGGAGAGCGGGGCACTCATCAGTCATGAAAACCTTTGGCCCAGCCCCACCACGGAAAGCAGTGGTTGGCACTAAGGACTTGTACAGCTGGAGTGCTGCTGTGACCGTAGGGGTTGTCTCAGACGTTGTGATTATACAACCGACAGGCAATCCACCAATGCAAGAGTGCGTCAAAAGGAGGTATGCCCCCAGACTGTCGCAGTTTGCAGCACCACAATGATCAACGGTGATCAATTCGTGACTCTGTGGCACATTACTGAGGACCCGTTTCATCAACTTTGAGCAGATTGCCACAACAACCTGACCGTCTACAGTTGTGCATACATCCATCACCATGTCGCCACTGGCGTTTTCTGTTGTCATCCTTGTCTGCAAATCTCCCAAGACATCTTGTCCATCCTTTTCATTATTTGCCACTAACAGCTTCCGATGCAGCCTGGAAACGAAATTGCAGACACAAATCACCACTGCAAAGAACACACTTCAGAAGTTTACATTCTTTAATTTTCAAGCAGTTTCATGCGTCATGCATTTGCAAATTTACAACACATTGGTCTCTACATTCATAAATCCAGTAAATTCTCCAAAACCTTCTTGTGGATATCAGAGAGTCAGAGAGGGTTACTTTTAAGGATAACTGCATAACAGGAAAACCCCAATCAAAATTTTGATTTGCACATGAGAACAGTGCAAGTGAAGAAAAGAAGGGGTATCACTTCATCGCAGCAAAGTTTGAACTTTAAGGAGGAGGTACAGTGTAAGCTCAGAGTAATACCTGATCCAGAAATTGACAGTGCTAGGATGGCCCATACGTGCAACATCAATCAAATTTGCTTACCTACGACACCACTGTTCATCCGGTACCTGGGCTCGATCACCACAAATGTGCATGAAGTTGGAGCCATGCTCCAGCTGGAGATCCATCTTGTGGAGGCCCAGGGCTGCGACGGGGCCATATCCCAGCCGGAACAAGCCTCGGAACTTCTCCTCCACACTCGGCCTGACGTCTCTGAACCGGAGGGCAGAGCTGGCCCTGATGGGGTGGTTGTGGCTGTAGCGCAGACACACTCTCATGGGGTAGTCTGGCAGATGGGGGTCTGTTGACCTTGGAGCAGAAAAACAGAAGTATCATTCACAGCTGCCAGCATTTGTTTTACATGGTTCCTTGCCAAGTTAGAGGAACTTTTACCCAGCAGAAAGGGGTCTATTTGGAACGCATATAGGTGGAGTTTTGACACAGAAGTTTTAACCTTAACAAAAGCAACTGTAGGTATGTATGAAAACAAATGTGTGGACAAATCTGTGAGACCTTGTCCCATAAAAACGAAGTGCCAACAATCAGACGATACTTAAGGGCAATTTGCAATTCAGTGCACCACCATGAGGTTGACACAGAGAGACCATATTTTGCAGTGCACTGTGGGAAACACTTGACAAATTTTATTTGCCGGCTGCTCGCAAGAGGCTCCAATTGTTTGGATGTTTGTTTGATTGGACAGAAAGAAGATTCAGTATCAGTTTTCATTTATAAAGGTAGTGATAGCTTTTTGTGAGATGGCAAAATGCTGTTCCTTTACCTCCAAACTAAAAAAAACCTGATAAATACCTCTAAATAAATGCCATGGTTTTAGTCGACAGTGAACTTGAAAATATGGCTTCCTAGACAGCCTCTTGGTGGTGCTCTGTACTTTGAAATGCCCGTATCAGAGCTAATGTTATTGAGCAATGTCTCTGTTAGGTCTGGCAGTGGCCGGTAGCTGAAGTCTGAGGCTGTACACCTTACTTAATCACGAAAATGTTCATTTCAACAGCTGTGGTAAGTGGCTGCATTTTACAAGTAAATGCTAACACACTGAATTACCACTTATACATGATGAATTGTTGACCATGGTTAAAGATTTACTCCAACTTTCTGAACGGAATATATTCCTTATAAACTGACAGCAAAGACAAGAGTACACAACTCAGTGTCATCATACAAACAACCAATGGTCTATTCAAACATCCGTGTTTGGTCTCACCTGCTTTTTCTGGTTAGTTTTCCGACTCTCTTCACAGTAATTGTCATGCAGCTGACACAGTCTGTGCCTTTCAAGCTCAGCTTCTTTACCCTGCTTCTCGTATTATGGTGGCATCGGTAGGATTTCTGTAATGGTTCCAAAAAATAGTCCAGTGCACTCAGAGCATTCGAAAATAAAACGGTTTTGTGATGGGGTCTACATTGTGTGGGCTGGGATCTGTGCAGACAGAAGAGCTGTGCAAATTAGTAGAATATGTAAATGTTTAATCAATTATGGAGTATTCAAATATTTTTTTGAAATGACTTGGATGTGAAAATGAATGGAACTGAAAGGGAAATAAAAATTGCATTCTGAAAGCATATTTGAACGCGTTACCAGTGACTTTAAAGGCAGAAGATGCACATGCCCAATAGTAAGTCCAAACATTACTTCTCCTTCAAGATTTTTCTTCCTCCACTTTTTGCGGTGAGTGATCTTGTTAAGGTAAAGGGAATAAATCACCAATATGGACCAAACATGAGTTAGACTCCCAGCCTCCTTCTAATAACTAGGGGATGGACTGCTGTCCTGAAATTCAACGGGGCAGACATTACACAAACATGCATAATTTTCTTCTCCTTCAGACAGGAATTTGGACTCATATTGATCAAGTGGAACGTCTGCAAATGTTTGAATATTCAGTCGCTGAAATTGGCTCAGGTCAGCAGTGGCAAACAGAAAGGCTGGGCAGAATCGTGAATGCCACTGGCGAATCGGCACTGGACACAGTTTTATAAAAATTCTGAGTGATAATAAGACATATAATAATAGACACTTATAAAACGTACACATCCGCCTAATACCAGGCGCTCACCTGCTACCAGGCGCTCACCTGCTACATACACCCCTATAATCATTATCCCTGCACATTGGGATCACATAATCTAGACATTCCTGAAACCATCTCAGCTCCCTAGGGAGTATACTAGCCTGATGCTGCCATATCCGGCACAAACGGCTAAACATAACCACATCTGCCCTCACAGGTACCCATTTACTCCTGGGCGGAGAGAGGCACATGAGGGTAAAGTGACTTGCCCAAGGTCACAACATGCTGCTACCAATTGGATTTGAACCCCTGACCCTATGATCAGAAGCTACAAACCCTAACCACTGGGCCACATGCCACCTGAGACCATATAACTAGAAACCAGCGTGTGCCAACTTGCTGTCTTTGTGTGGACTTCAGAACAAGACAGGTTAACAGAATTTTATTGAATATCCATGGAATTACCATGTGCTAAAAGAATCAAACAAAATGACACCCAAAAACCTTGAAAAGATTTAACACCCACAAACCTTAAAAAGATTTAACACCCACAAACCTTGAAAAGATTTATACGTGGTGTTGTCACATCGTAGCCAAAGGTTCTATGCACACGCATGACGGTCATGGACTTGTCCTGGTATCTGGCCAGCCACAGTTGAGCCCCTCTCTCAGTAGATTCGGCCAGTCGGAGTTCAGCTGACCAACCACCTGGCACCGTATCCTCCTGAAAGGAGCAGACCTTGTGGAGATACTGGTCAGGCAGGACATCCTGTGGGGGTGATAAACACACGAGATATGAGGCCAAATTCGGTCATTCCATCTGAGGGGAATTAAGCCGCAGATACATGTAGCGCAGGGCAAGCAAACAGATTTATGTCTTTTTTTACAGATTTAAGTCTACATTCCCTGACCTTACACAAAAAAATTGAAGAAAGTGGAGACTACATGTTCCTGAAAAAGCTTGCTATGAGGCCCATATTTCTCATAGAGCTTCACTCACCCAAACAGATTGCTATTTCAGCACTGTTCCCCAATTGTTCCCGACTGAGACGTTTTCATCTCTATGCTGTTATGCCGACACCGCCATTCGTTACGACATTGATTCTTTCCCCCACTACTTTCAGCATTGTTCTTTTTCTGTCATCCGCAAATGAAAGCCGCGCTATGATTGGCCCAATTATCTCTGTGCCAGTGACCAATCACAGTGTGGCTTTCATTTGCAGGTGACAGGAAAACAAACAAGAACAAGATAGGAGTCGTGTTCCGATTAGTCAAGTTGTCATGCTGCTGACAACGATAGAGTGAGTGCAAGCTGGCAATTTTCTGTGGCGTAGATGGGCAAATTATTGTGAATTTCACCATTTTAATGAGATATACAGTGAGATACATAAGGGAAATAAACCTCCCCAGCAGACATCTAACCTAACCAAGAAAGGATGTACATATGATATTTTCTTATACAAAGTCATGTATTATGATGGCAGAGTAAGTTGGGATAATCAAAATAGTCTAAACTGTGTTTATGGAAGTTAAAATCGTAGGGAGTCCGGCATTTTCAGATCTTTTGTTTGACCCCCACAAATTTAGTTTCATTGGAAGGAGAATTTCAAAAGAGCTTGAATGGTATAAATTTAGCTCAATAGCTTTAAGTATAGTGGAGTTATGGGATTTTTTTTGGTTAAAATTAGGTGAAATTAGTCTGTCACTTTTTGGGGATGGACACAAGTTTAATTTTCATCAACGTATTTGAACCACATGGAATCTTGATCCTCATCTGTTCCACTTCCAGACATGCCAGAGTTGGACAAAGATCTGTAGTTAAGTCACAGAGGAAGTGTAAAGTAAAAATACCTTTTTTTTACGGAAAACTTTATCAATAATAACACAGGATACATGTACATGGATACAGTAACAGGACAGTTGAGTTGGGCTTGAAATTTTTAGTGATGTGTGAAAGATCACAGAAGCATAGTTTTGATGTGATTTTTTTTATTCATCAATAAATAGTTACAAAACTAGGGGAACAAGTCTGTCAGGTGTCATTTTAAGTCTGTGTGTGGTGTTAGGGTCTTTTGATAACATTTGATTGAAACAACATGTGTGGTTTATGCACTTGTTACATGTATTTGCATCTTGCTCCCCGTGCACCATCCATCAATCTGATCCACATGCATACACCAAATACAAAAGGGCTGTTCGGCACCAGTTCCACATCGATTTTTTACCAAAAATATTTCCTTTTCTTCCTGAAATTCTAAGCTTCCAAATAAACATTGTTTTATATACGTTTCACCAACTACTTATACATGTTTTGGGGAATTTTCAACAGAAAAATGCACATTTTTCATTACCTTTTTGTAGTCTTCACAAACCAAAACAAGGCTTGATGGTGCTTTAATCAAATGCCTTGAGTCATACATGTACATCAAATGAAAGAGTATTTTAAGCTCTACAAGATGATGACATCATCATTCCAAACCTGGTCGAGTTTCGCGAGACATTAGGCTTAGACGAGACTATGTCACATGACAACAAACAAAGATGGCCGCCCACAGTTTTTTGGCACAGTGTAACTATAAGAGGCTCTGATCTTACATTTTTTCATGATACCGGTAATTTAGCTTAGGCCTACACCCAAAACTCGACACAAACAGACATACATGTAATCAGATAATAAATGGTACAAACACAAATTTCGGTCCTTTTACAGCACAACTGCTTTTCAAAATATAGAACTTGGTGCACAAAAAGGGCAGAAATCGTTGATTGAAAACAAACACTTTTACACGCATCCAGATATAGACTTCAGAGGTGCCGTTTCGCTGGACTCCCTGCTGCCCCACGTACATGTACATGTATGTCCTTGTACAAGTTCATGAAGTTGTACTGCACGAAGTGTTAAGGCCCTACACTTCAGACTACTGGCCTTTAATCAAACTGTGAGTGTGATAATAGCATAAATATGCACGTTGATTTTACTTAAGCATAAGCAGACATATAATGCCAACCTGCATACGCAGCAGATCTTCCTCTTCTGGCCGATTTTCTATGCAACAACACTTGCATGCGATTACATGACGGGCACGTATATGTGCACCCGCCGCCATCTTCAGCTCAGTAGAGATATCTACATGTACTGTCGCGATGTAGTACGCCCTCTCAAGGTGGATCGTGGGTATCATTCATCAGGACCTGGGGCGCGACGTACGCACAGCTGGTCGGGTGCCGCGGGTTGCATTTTGGGGTCAAAATAGATGCGTATCGATCTTCTAGAAATGTAAGGGAGGCTAAACGGTAGAAGAATTTCAGTTGGCCGAGCTATGTGGTATAAACCAAAATGTTGTGTGAATGAAATTACCGAAACGCCCTTAGTGGCTTTGGTGCCAAGGGCATAGCGAAGGCATTTTTTTTGGGGGGGGGAGGTGCCGGAGTCAATTTGCCGACTTGTAACTTGTTCGCCAACCTCGTGTCGTGTAAAATGGAAATCCAGGGTACGCTATATTTCATGCTTCATGAGAAATGCCGAGGGCCAACGTGTATTGCTTATGTACCATCCTTGGATTCATTTGTCCACCGAAGCTCGATTTGCTGACAGGAATTAGTTATTGGGGTTGGGGGACCGCACCCCTACACCCCAGTTGCTAGCCCCTGCTTGGTGCACCTACTTTACAGACTCCAGCCTTCTCAACTGTGCTAAGTTTTAGTCAGTCAATGTTTCCCCTTCCCATCAAACAATGCATACTGCTCCAGAAAAATAGACAAAAAGTGAACAAAAATTAATGTTTTAAAAAAGAAAACACAGTCTGGGACTTAACAAATTAAAGTCAGATACGATATAAATGACAGACATTATCTTTTCTAAACTAATTTGTTTTATAAGCTTCTTGATGCCTCTCTCCAGTCAGAACAAGAAACCTGTGTGTACACGTTAGAGCCTAACAAGTGCAGATCGCTATTGTGATTGAGCACGAAGAGCGAAGGGTTTCGGACAAGGATTATAAATTCAGTCATCGTTTGTTGTCTTATTTTCGTCTCAGAATCTGTCCCGTCGGTCAGCCGGCAAGATCCTCATGGACACGTTGGAAGTGTGCCTCCAAGACAACTGTAGATCAGACTCAGGTAAACAGCTTCGAAAAGTAGACAGATCCAAAGGTGTCGCAATGGTGGGGAGATGCAAACTTGGTACACCGCATGGGAAAAAAATGAAATAGAAAAAAAGAAAGAAAAAAAGAAAGGAACGGGAAGGACACAAAAAAAGGAAGAAAGGGCCTACATCACCAATTTGCTTGAAAATACCTCGGAGTTGACCCCTTCAGCTTGATGGTTTGTCTGCTGATAAGCGCCCCACCCCCCCCCCGCCAAGAAAAATGCGGCATGCCCACGGATAGATCTCAACAGTGGTTAATTTGTGTAGTATTTCGGATGATTCACCAAAAAGCTCTCTAAGAAAAGCAATACCTGTTACATCAGTGCTTTTATTAATACTATAGAAGCGTATTCGTAATGTAAAGGGTGACTGTTGTTGACAATCAAGAAAGTATAATAATTAACCTCCAGGGATTTACGGCACAGTTGGCTCGATATATTATGGAACCAGTTAAAATCAATTTTTCCCTTTTTTTTTTAACAGAGAACGAGGTGAGAAACTTTCTGAACTTTCTACATAAGCAGTTAATGCATCACGATCTTCTTCGATTCAGCGGGCCACGGTCGGGGCTCAGAGGCACCCAGTCGACCCCGAACAGCCCCCTCATGCAGCGGCGGTCATCGGCGTCGGCCGCTGTGTCCTCCCCGGCGGGCCGGAGCTCGAGGCTTAGCACGGACTTCTACCAGTTGGACAGCACGGCCAAGAAGGTCTGCAGAGGCGCGCCGTCGACGTCATCAGCCTCGACGGAGGACGTGGAAGGCATGATGATGTGCAACGGCTACGCTGAGAGCCCAACACTGGACGTGTAAGAGTGGACGCGGAGAATCCCAATACGGCCGTTTCATAGTAGGGCGCCACCAAGAGTTTGCAACACGTTGGCCAATCACATCACTCGAAATTTGTCGACCCTTTCTAAACGCGCATTGGGTCGACAACTTTGGCACATTTTGATTGGCCAACGCGTTGGAAACTCTTGGTGGCGCACTATTGTGAAACGGCCGTATTGATGAATCTAGGGGGCTCAAGGGAGTGACGTATCCGCGGAAGAGGGGGTCGTGGTCGGGGCTTAATCCCCCGAAGACGCGTTGCTTTTTTTAAAAAAGAATTGAAAGCGCCAGCATTTCACAAACAGTACTACCCCACATTTCGAGCTGGGAGTTGATGAGAATTCTTTTGTGCATGAAAAAAAAATTGGAAAGTCATTTTTAGAAAATCCATTTTGCCCTCCCCCCGGATGCGTCACTCCGTTTGGCGGTTAGAGTTCGTTTTTAACCTTGCTCTATGTTATAACAGCTCCCCACTCCTGTGGAACTATAGGGTCGAAACAGCATTTGAGAACCTCCACAGAAACTTGGTGTACATGCACTATTAGATCTGAACTATAGCAAGCGATTTCTTATCGTTGGCAGTAAAATGGGCCTTGTTTGATTTATCTGTGCTAAGCAAACTTCTCCAAGAACACAAATACAAAAAAAAGTAACAGAGCAATAATATTGGTGTTTCGTCGGAGGTGTTGGAGTCTATAATGGGCTGAACTAAGATTGTGTATCTGAAGGCAATAACCTCGTTCAATATTGTACATAAATCACAGTACACATGTATGAATTGAGTTCCTTGTTTGGAGAGTAGTACTTTCAATACATTCTGTTTGGACAGTTGTAGATTTAAGAGATTTGGAGTGACACCCCCGCTGAGTTTGATCTAAAGCGTAACAAAAATGTTGTGAGCAGGCTTGAGAAATAAAAGTAGCGTGCGTTGTGACAGCATTATTGCACTCTTATTGGTTCTGACTCGCTAGCTAGATCAGAGCGTCACTTCATTCACTGTTTATGGGTATGAAACGTCAAAGTTTTAAAAAGTGAGGTAACCCAAAGTTACCGTCTAGAACTTCGTACTTTCTAAAACAATGTCTTGTGGAAGTCGATTTGAATTTAGAGTACAGCTGCATAAATCGTAGTAACGCGTGACGAGCATGACACTGTTTTGTCTATAGTGTCAAAATTTGTGAGAAACAATGGTCACTAATTTAGTGTATAAAAGTCAACAATGTGGTAACTATTCTGTAAGTTTGGGAGTCAGTGTAATATTGTGCTAAAGGATTCCGTACGTGTTTGTATAGTAGAATAAAGTACCTGTGCATATCTTTATGGACAAACAGTTAATAATTATACAATTTTAATTGAAATAAACATTCAGATGAACAATTACATCTTCGTCTTGAATGCACACTGCAGTATGCTGCAACGATTACATAAGTCAGTAGACAGTTTTCAAACAAAATGACCAAGAAAGAGGCACGATGTTCTTATTAGACTGTCGAGTTTACAAAACTTGCTGTTTACATGAGGGTTTCGAGCCCGTGCCAAATTATTGTAATTATAGTGAAAAGCTTTGGACTGTAAAACAGGATTACTGAAAAAAAGGAGTTTCAAGTAAACGAAGAAGCTTCGCAGTTTGCTTCAGCAAAGTTTAACATGGTGATGTGAAAAAAACCAAAAAAATAATAATTAAAAAAAAACAATTTCAAACATAAATCAAGTTCAACCTAATAGAAATTTGCTTTTCTATCAAAATGAACTTTTGTTTTAGACTGTATGCATTTCACATATAGATAAATACCAAAGAGGTACATGTAGATTTTGATGTATTATTTATGTCATAGTGGGTAGAGGATGAATCGAAACAGTGCAGAGATGTACAGTAAAGGCTTGTTATGATGAACGTGAAAAAATAAATCAGTTATACCACTTCAGCAGTTTAATAGGCTTGCGATGTGGAAATAGTATTTGTGCAATAGGACTGGAGCCAAATTGAATAGCTACGAGATGTACCCAATTAGCGAAATTGGATTGAATAATGAGGCTGGCTCCAGTCGCGGCTCCACACTGAAGATGTAAAGAAGTATTCAATCCAAATGATCGTATAATCTGATAATTCTCTTCCGTATAAGTAACTGTTGTAACTAAAGAAGGTAAACAATAGCAATTTAATGTGTCCTTTATAAAAAAGGTCAATATTTGCTGGATGTGCCGTACTGCTAGCAATGCAAAATACGCACCATTTTCAAATGCATCGTTTGTAAGTGGGCTCCGAGACGCTAATAATTTTGTCAGCACAAAATAACATATCTGCTACCAGTTCATATTTAGTCCCAGAAGAGTATTCACAGCGTAGACCTAAATTAGTCATTTTTACACTTCTAAGCCTTTTTCAATGCTGCATCACATTATAAAAAAACATAAAACTTAACAAAACGTTTTGTGCAATAACTAATAGATGTACCTGTCCAGTATGGTCTATGAAATAGACAATTTTCGAGTATAGGTGAAATCTTCGTTGGCCATTTGTATATGTGTATACAACTTGGTCAAAGTTGGAATCATAAAAAAAAAAGTTTTTTATACCTTTGTACGGCGACTTGTATTTTCCCAATTGACGTGTAATGCTTTAGCTTCAAAAGCGCAATGCCTTCTCTCAAATGGTGCAACTTTTGTACTTCGTAAGCAGACTTTAATAAATTGTAACTGTGTATCAATATATCAATAATTGACGCAAGTGTTGCTAACATTCGACGTGCAACAAGTAAGGGTGATTTGTAAACGGCGGTCCAGCGACTTGGTCTTTCACGGTGATACGATTTGCAAATGACTTGTTTGCATGAGGAGATTTTGTACTTGCGAAAATGCTTGTGGTTTGGGGCATTTTTGTGATCTCCTGTTTCACAGGGTTCAGAGAAAAAATGGAAGGTAATTTTGTGAGGCCTCGTCTGCCTTGGTATCACTAGTGACTCGTGTATGGTGCTCGATGATTCCTCGATGTAGGCCCACAGCCATTTGCAGTATACATAGGTAAAGTCTTACGACTCTTTTAATCAGCTTTAACTGCGACTTTTTGATAGTTATTCCTGTATAAGAAAAAACTATTGTCAGGCTCCTTTGTTCTTAAAAGACTCCTTGGATTTCTTAACCAAGAAAAAAAAAATTCATCAGTTACAATTCTGAGAACTAAACCACTTGACATGAATGACCCGATCCACTTCTTGCAAGATGCCATGACAGAATCAGCAAAAAGAAAACTCAACGAAAGTTGACGACGGAATCAGAAATAAATAACGCATTCATCAACCAATGAATCGTCGATCGGGTACAGACCGAGCCGTTGATTCAGTGGACTTTCAACAAACCTAAACCATCAACTGGAAGTGCAGGTCATCCGGAATCAGTCGATATAAGTCATGTAGTGCATGAAACTATGAATGGATGTAAAGTGGTCTACTGACAAAATAACCCTCTGCCCTTCAACAGTGAAGGGTGTAGTATTGAAGTGAACTCAGTTCAGTCAATGATGAATTATAAACGGTTAGCAATACCCCTAAAGAAAACTCCAGAAACTTTATTTGGGAAGTGTCCAATGACCATGAAATCTGTAATGCAAACTGCATGTACCAATAACAGAGTATTGTGAAATAAATTGTAAAGCTTATGCAAGCTCGACGTGATCTCTTGCTATCTGTCTTTATTTGCATGTTTTACATTTAAACGACTACAAAAGCAGTTGATAGAAAAATTATGGGAAAACTACAGGAACAATGAACTACGGGAACAATGAATATTTAATGAATAAAATTCAAAGTATCATGAACTGTGGTGCCACGTGAATTTCAAGGACGCTCCTTGAAACATCCCAACTCAAGATCCTGTGCAATTAAACACTCCCACTCTAGCCCAAATTACTGAACTGATTATTAAACACCCTTACGGCTCTGCTTAAAAACAACTTTTTCTGAGAGGGAGATAAATATTAACTTGACTCGGGACTCAGGGGGCCCCTTTAGTCTCTGTTCGCTTGTGACAGAAGCACCGCAATTACTTCATGAACCAGGAAGTAAAATGACGCGTAGTAGCTTCCCAGGAACAAGTAATCAGCATCTCTCAAAGGGGACCACGGTAAAAGAAACGGGGGGGGGATCTGATCAATTGTCAAACATTCAAATATTTATTTTCGAAACCAAGTGTTCAGAGGTGAAAATCAATGAAATAAAAAAGAAAACTAACTTCTTATCTGCATTAAAAAAGCTCATTCCAAGGTAAGGTAAACTTACAGACAGCTTATGAACATGCCGACAATAAGGGCATCAAAATATCCTTTTCCTTCCAGTTTTTCTTATTATGGTATAAACTTCTACTTTACACAGAGCATCAGTTCGACTCCTAGCCTACGAGGTAGACATCACATAAGTATGCACATTTTAATTTTCTTTGGGCTTTTGTGTAAATTCATATAACATTACACATATGATGAATATTGACATGTAATAATGAGCATTATGATTAAAAAAGAATTTCACGAGGTGATAGATTGAATGTGGCTGAGCTGAGTGGCATAGAAGATTCCATCTGTTACCAATGAACATTTTCTTCCCATTGCATGAATGTGAAACATTGTTTTATACAAGCCTGAATAAATCCTCTTTACATACAATGTACAAGTCCCATGTTTCTTTCTCAGCTTTGTGTAAAAACGAGATAAGTGGTTTTCAAGTATACGAGAAGCAACTGGTATTTGTGTGCAGGGTCGTAGGACAGCACCCCTTTGCCTATGAGAAGAGCGTGTACAATACTCCAGCTATCTGTCTAACAGGCATAGTTGACAGTCGTACCACTGAATATAACGAATAACCCAATGGTACATGATCGATGACACATCACTCCTATCACTGGGATTTATTCAGGTATTGTACAAAACTGAATATCCGATTGAATGGAAGATCACATATGAGATTAATTAATTTCTTTGATCTAACTCACAAAAATGTGAACAAAGCAGTTCAGGTACCCAATAATGCAGCAGGCATCAGCTAGAAATGACAGTTACATGAGGCCAACACTTTGCATCCTTATCGGGTATTTTTGTCCAATTTTGTTGGTGTGCATTTTCCTTTCCCTCCATGTGCTTTTTTTGAATTCTGTTGACAAGAATAAAAAAAGGATGGCGAGATCATACCTCCGAACTCCTATTGTACTTGTGAACGGACAGATTGATGCTAACATTGTTAATGATCCAACGGGTAATCCAAAACCTGTAACTGGTCCCACATCTCAGAGGAGAGTCTCCACCATGAGAGGGACTTGGCATTTGACCTTGGGTCATCGCCAAGCCAGGGGTCACATGATGGGACGTCTCATATGCTATCATGTTTTAGTTTGTCCCTGTGCTGTTTGACACACTTAGCCACTTTTCTGTGGTTCAAGAAAACTCACGCCCATGGTTTTGCTGTTCTGGTGACGTAGACTCCAGAAGGTGCTTTGACCTTTCATGTACGCAAATACCTTTCGGTAAACTCATGTCAATGGTCCTCACTGGTCAAATGAAAGAGCCTCTGCAAAGAGGTATATGAACTACTGTCTTTTATGCACAACATGGTAAACTCACATCCGTGGTCCTTGTTAGTGTGATGGTGTTGCCTCTGCAATCAGGCACTATTGTCTTTCGTACATTGCCTTTAGAATTTCATAGCTCTCATTATAACGAGCCTGGTTGTACTGTGCGCTGGACTTCCAACTACAAACATCAAAAGAAAAAAGGAAAAATTTGGATATTTCCTATGTGTATCCATCACATAGTGCCTGTGATGGCAGCCAGAGTAGCATTCTGGTGGTTCAAATCAAGCACGGGTTCAATGGTTTCCGGCTGATGACTTTCTTTGGTAACATTAAACAGGCATGATTTGGCGATGTGGTGCTCCAACTTCTCAGCAACCAACCGATGAGGAACAACTGAGAGGTCAAAAGCTCTAGGTACAAGACTCTTTCACATCATACCTATCAAAAACAAATCACAAGAATTTTACACACTCACGCATTTCGGATCTTCTTCCACCTGTTCATATTCTTCCTCAGCAACTCCTCTCTAGAAGGGTCTTGGGTTGAGTCCTGCATAAAGCAAAGGTAAGAAGTGTATGCATGATATGACATTCCAACAGCAAAAACTCTGAGGTTGCGAAGAAAGTGTAAGAAAAATAAGGGTGAAGCCAAAGAAAGTGACAAAGCCCAAGTATAAAAAAAGATAAGAGCAGAGTGGCATTACTGAACTCACCAAATACGTCTCCAGTTTCTCGTCATTTGGCATCGGCAGTGGTATCCGGGGGTCCTGACCAGTTTCCTCCCTGACGTACGAGGCAAGCTTAGTGGGCCTTGGCAGATGGTAATAATTGGGGTGGCCACCTGAATTCTGACAGCGCAAAACGGCATATAATTAATCCCATCGTGCCAAGATGTTTGTATGCATAGCTGGGGAGCCTGAAATTGGACAAAGGAACCGGGTCTTGTATCAAAAGACCGTACTCTGAACAAAAGACCGTGCTACTGGGACTTGAAGAACATTCTTTTAGTTGTCAATAGCGGAGGTAAGCCATCCTTTTGAAACACTATAATACTATTTTTGGCATTCAATCCGAAGGATTACAACTAAGGATGAAAGCTCTCCAGCTGGACGCTAATCTGGCCCCATTGAAAAAGACGCTAGCAGCGAACTGCTCCAAAAGAACAAAATAAATTATGCAACACAATCTGGGCTCTCTTTACAAGGCAGCAGGCCTAGCTGAAATACACAGGCGTCAATAGATATTACCTGTCAGATTAGAGTAGCCACCAGACAGTCATTTGTGTGGGTGTAAATATCCAGTAAATAAAGTAATGAACTTATAAAGAATTTTGAAAATGAAAAATCTTGAAAAACGCCCATTTTTGTGCACAGCCACTTCAATTGAACCCAGTAGCATATTCGTTCATTTCATTCATAAAATCCTCATTAGATTACAAATTTCAAGTGGCAATGCAAGTCATTTCCAAGCATGCCATCCATCCTCAAACCACAGCACAGCATGGTGCAGCTTTCAAACAAACTTCACAGTCATTTCTCCAGTAAGACAGCTACCGATAAAGTCATAACGTTGTGAGGAACTACGTGCCCTTTCCAGGTGCTCCTTCGCTGATTCCTCAAAAATCATCCTGTCTTAAGTGCACAGGACAATTGTAATGTGTACTCTTACACTGTGTGCCAGGTTAACACGTTGACTGCCGGCTACAAGTATACTCGTAGTCACAGGTGTACTGGATTTCGCCACTACAAGTATACTCATAGGAATGAAAGGCTATTGCAATGTAAATTGAACACAATGGCATCATCGAAGAACACAACAAATATGCTGCTGGCAGTGTTCAGGGCGTACATATCCGGAAAATGCTCATGTTCAAACAGACATGTGAAAGGTACCTATTAAATATGTACACATGCATACAACGCTTGGCAAATGAGAATGCCTCTGTGAAATTATGTGCGGCAGTCAATGTGTTTAGCAGTGCCTTACATGAACATAAAGCGAGTACAGGTGTAAGTCCAGGGTGGCTATGCTTTAACGTGATCGGTGCCAAATACAAGTAGAAACGGACACTGATGAGAAGAGCACTGTTAATATGTCATGTTTATAACAAGGACAATTTGAGGTTCCAAGTCTTTTCTTTTTCTTCAGTTTCAATTACTGGCACAGTACCTACAACAAGGTAACTGTACAGTCCCAAGGGCCTTATTATAACAGTGATGCACTGTATGTTGTATTTAACATAGTGGAACAAAGGATCTATCCATTTATTTCAAATGGGGGTGAAGGGTCAAAGAATTATCACGAAGAGCGTGCACAGCTTGGCTCCCACCTCTCAAGTGTTGAACAAGAAACAACTTCCAACCATTCACCAGTTCTAATGTATATTCCTTTCTACATCTAGTGAAAGAAAAACTTTGTGGTTCATAAAGACCGATTTGCTTATGCTTGGTGGAACAACCGTTCTTTGGCCAGTAAAGAGTCTCTGGAGACAGACTTACAAAAACATTTCCTTGCACTACTAAATGTAAGCTAAAAAAATCCAAACATGCTCAAAATTAATTTCATATGAACAAAAGAGTGCCTGCAGACTTCAGATAGGAAAACTTTCGACCAATCACAATATCGTGAGGTTGAGGTTGTCGAGATCAGAACAGTAATACATGTTCACACAACATGCAGTGATTGCCTGGGGGTATTTCGGATTGCTCAATTGCGACACCCCTATTGTGTGCTGTATAGTTTCAGTGGCAAACTGGATGAAGCTGAAACATGGACAAATAAAGTTTTTAGACAATGGTTACAAGCCAGATTCATCACACAGTACACATACATATACCGGTAAATAGCGTACCAACCTCATTTCTATGGGTACAATCTTGCTGCACCATGTTAGTTCCCACCATGCATGGTGCCATCAAACCCCTGGTATTGTATGATTTAAATATCCCACTATTCGGGATATTTAAATTAGGACTTTATTCAGTGTGTTTAGGGGCAACGCAGATTTACAGGGGTGTGATGTGCAGGAGAATATGTGGGTGTGAGGATGCAGCTTTTGAAATAAGCATGCAATTCACTTTACACTTATGTATATTCATCCTGAATAGCCAGTCAGCGTCCTATTTCATATTCAACACGACCAGGGGCTAGTGAAGGAATGCGCATGCAGCCCATGGAGTTGAGGTTGACAGCATACACACTGTATTGGAGGTTTACATACATAGAGGAAAAAGTACAAGACACAAGTGCACATACACATCCGTCTTAAGAGACTCTATTCATGTGCTGGCCATCTTGAATTGAATTTGACATCAAACTTTTCATTTTGGAAACCTGAGAGTGACAACAGCAGTGACAAAATACAAATTCCAACCAATTCATCCCATTTTGGGTCCAGAATAATTAAAATCTTTTAAGTTCATTTAGATCATCTAAATGTTTCAAGCCCCATTAAAAAAAATGAAAGTGAAGACCGGAACCCCTAATAGTCTGGCATCATTCCATTTAACTTATTATATATGATAGATTCGGGGAACAAGATAAAACAGAGCTTCCCCGTGAAATGTGGCTGTCTCCCACCAGCAGAACTAGTGAGAGATGCAGACTGAACCAACATATCTGCAATTTCTTGCCATTTCTCACTTGGCACATCGGAGGCAATGCTTTTATGGCCCTGAAACAGAACTACCCCAAACCTACATCATCTGAGTCGTCCAGAGGCTCTGGGGACTGGCTGCGCTCTCTGTTGGCCCTCTGGCCAGCCGGCCGGTTTAGCATCCACTCTCGACAGACGGGGTACAAGGAGGACGTGGACCTGAACTGAGCCAGGTCCACGCTGCGGTCAAACAGCTTCATGACGTAAGAATCTGCGGTGGTGTGGTTGTAAACAAATAGAGTGGAAAATTTCATTATCAGTATTTTCTGTGACAAAGTGAGTGTAACTTTGTGTGTGGCCTGATCCTCCCTTACAGAATGGGTATTCTACTAGAATCCAGCACAGCGGTTAACTTCAAATAGTGGAGTCAGGAAGGTTACTCATTGACTTGTCTGTGTTACTTGGCAGAGTGCACCAGTGGCTCACAATACCTGTATTTGGTTGTCACCGATGATATTCCAGTACTTACCCTCATCCATGTTAGCTGTAGGCTGCTTCATGCTACAGCCTTTCAAACCGGGTTGAACTAAACTCTGGGTGAACCAATGACCGCCATGGGTTGAAAATTTGAATTTCAACTCCGAATTCAACCCAGTGTTATTTCACACTGGGTTCCAGTGAACCAAGCTTATCAGGGCAAGTTCAAACCCGGAATTTTCTAACCACGTTAAAAAATCTCAACCCTGGTCCAGAGCAGGGTTCAGTTCAAACCCGGGTTGGAGTCAATCTTGGGGTTGATGCAGAGTTTGTCAAAATTGTCCAAAGTTCAAGTGGGAATCATCGCCAGTTGCAGCACTGTGTCAACCCCGAGATTTGTTCACCTCCCTTGAGAGGTTTTAAGCATAGTATGACACCAAGCTGAAATCAACAAACAACGGGGTCGGAGGTCAGAGGTCCAATTACAGGAGTGTACTTCCCAAAAAATACCACAGCCCAAGCACCATCATAAAAATTGTGATGACTTACGCTGCAGTCTTGCCGCATCGAGGAGATCGCTGTCCACCTGTGATGGCGGCAACTCCCGCTTTCTTCTCTTCCGAGATCGGCTGACTTGTCGTTTGGATGGGGAGGGAGCCTCTGCGGGCTCACTACACATGCAAAATGACACATTCTAAATGAGACTTCAAATAATGTAATATCACCCACCTACATGCGTGTGCTAAATGCAACAAAATATAAATGGAAGTCAGACTGTACAATGCTGGTAAATGGAACAAAATTCAACATGGGATTCAGCTCCACACACACTGACACTCAGGCTCTAAAAATACACATACATGTATACACAGACAGCCATGAGGTTCATTACACTTTTTGTACTTTTAATGTGCTGAAGGAAAGGCACCATACCTTTTTTCAGCTCTCTGTGGGCTTTAGGGCAAGTGCTTGTTACCTGATGACCAAACTTTCCCAATCAATTCATAGGCCAATTTTACCTATTTTTGGGTGGTGTTACACTGTACTTATCAGCTTATGGCTTTAAAAATACCTGACTGACTTAGATCTGAGTTACAGGCAGATTGCCAAGTACATGTACTACAAATACCAAGTCTTCAGAGTCATTTGTACAATATATGAACAATATTTCAGTGAGACTAGGTCGTCATATTTTTTTACACTCTACGTTCCAGTCTGAGCAATGGTTGTGTGCAAATCAAGCGCAGATAGGATATCTCGTGTATGAGTGTACACTGTCCCCTTTCACTGGCTCAACTTTTTTTAGTGACTAGCAAGATGGAAAATGGAAGTGTCGACCATATATCCTCATGCAAACATGTGTAGATGCCACACATTTGTACAGGCCATGGCAAGGAACAAACCATGTGTCAGTGACTGAAAATTGCTATAGCAAACGTTTAATGAGGATCCTGATCCCCTCCTGATTTCATCTGGTCATCTGTCATTTTTTTTCCAGTTTGGGTAACTCCTTTTCTTTTGTTTTATTTACTGATACGTTCTGATCCCCCTAGGTCTTTTTCTCAATTTTTTTTTCATCCAAAATGGTCATGCCCAACTATGTCAACAAAGTTGAGGCAGTGGACCAAGTCGGGATGTATTATGTATAATGACGATTTATAAGGTTCCGTACCTGTCTGGTTCAACCTCAGTTTTGACGACAGGGATGAGTTCAATCTCTGCTGGAGAACTACAGGAAAACGGAATGAAAAACAAATAAAAGAGGGAGAATGAAGTGACATCAACACAGTAGGCGCAAACCAGACGGACACTCATGTCTCATGGTCAATGCATCATATCCAAGGCATTTAACATGTTTAATGTGTGCACACAAGGACGGGTACAAATACATGTACTGGTTGGGTGTACATCTTAAGAAATATCGCAAGATCAAAAGAAATTCTGAAAACTCCATGTACGAGTAAACTTGCATGCCACTCCCCAAACATGCCAAACCTCTCCAAATAGTGATTCCAACAAAGCATGTATATTCACATGTACAAGTTAATGAAACTAAAGGAGAATATTTATTTCTGTATGCATCTTTGTAGCCAATTAAATGTATAATCCCACAGGTCTATGTATGTGTACATGTACATAGCACCCATACTGTCATGACTATGAGTCCATGAGTGTTACCCTAAAGCTGTAGTCTGTGCAAATTTCACACAGTCTCCCTGAAAGAACGCAGGTTATTTTGGACAATATCACAGCCGGGGGGGGGCCTCAGTTTTCCCATGCCAATTTGTTAAGAACGTGACACACATGTGAAGACACTCCTTGTCAGTAAACCCCAGGCATGACAGCCCAGATGCACTGCAAATTCAAGAGCAATGGACAGAATTTTTTGAGCACGGCAGTGGAGCAGTACACTGGCTGACCAGTCTTGGGAAAATTTAGCTCTGCATGAGAACAGTACACGAGCATACACGTACATGTGTACATACAGGTCCACAACATCGGAGTCAAATGACAGCAGAGAGTTACTGACCAACTCTTAAACAGCTGGGGGAGAGGGACTCTGCTCCTCCAGCTCTTTTAGGGTTAACTACTACATGTACATGTAGCTGCAATGATGCACAACATGTGAAAGATCACATGCTGTGGTAAGTTTTCATTCACTGACAGCAACAGTCCACCAACGCAAATTAGCGTACACGCACAACAATACTGATGATGACACCTGTAAACTTCCACACTTTAACCATATTACGGACTGTTTAACACTGGTTCAGACTTCAGGTGAATTTTACACTTGACATCACTGAACACTTTATAATGCATTTGATATGAAGCAACAGCTTCACGTTTGTGCTTGGTCTTGCACTAAATGAACAAACAATTTTCAATAAACGAACCGGTATGTGACAAACATGTCATTGTTGACATGTATATATGGCAAAAAACACTGTAAACAGAGGCCAGAAAGTTACTGTCATATGAGCGGTGTTTCACTGATGGTTTCACATTCTTGCCAAGTCTTGAGCACTCCACAACCTGTTCTACGGCATGTCTATCAGTGTGGATATTGTAACTGAATGGACACTGTGAGTGATATCTGTTTTTAATAAGAATCAATATCCATTTTAATGTCAAAACAGACAAGTAAATTGTTTTCCTCTTTTCTAATTTCGCTGCCAAAGGGAATACCTTTGCAAGAACTCTACTATTTCATTCTCCCTATTGGCTCCATGCCTCTTTGCAAGTACATACGGTACATGTTCATACAGTAATTGTTGAAACACTTGCAGAAATTTGTTACAGTAGGGGAAACAACATGACCGGTCCCCTTCATAGTGTTTTGTGTCACTTGCAACTTCTCCCCTCAAGGCCTGGGTGGGACGTTTCTCACAGGCAAAGCACCTACCTCTCTTCGTCGGCTTTCTCCACAAGGTTCTGGAGCACTCCTTCCAGCTTGCTGCGAGGACTGGCCATGCTGCTCTTCTCCTTGTCCTCCTGCTGCAGCTGGTGGGGGTGATGATGCTTGCCCCTCCCACTCATTCTACGAAGTCAGATCAAAAACTCTGAGAAGAAACAGAAAATCTTAGATTTTACGATTTATTATCATTTTTTTAAGGGTTTCACATGTACATATACATTTCAATGACTATGATTTGTTGAACTGTATCACACTTTCTCAGGAATCCTGCCAAAAATGACGACCCTGCCGAACATGACAACCCTGCCAACTGAAAATGAGGTCAGAAGCATTGTGCTTACAGAAATTAGGGGTCAATTTTGTAAATTCAGAACACATTTTCTAATTTCCAAGAGTGATGAATTAATGCAAATTACCTGCCAAACAAATAGTAATAGTTTGAAATCAATTCTGGTCATACCGGTATTTCCATGTGAAATAACAAAAGTCGTTGATAAAACAGCAGTTGGGATCACCGTCTCTAATGCTGTCTGGTTTCAAGACCAAACAGATCCCGACTGTGTTTGGCATTGCTTGGTTAACGATTGGGAGTTAATCGCTGTAGTAAATGAATGGCCCAAATTGAAACCAAAATTTCTACAAACTGGAAATCGCCCATATTAATACATAGGTAGTTTGATGAGGTGAGTGATCCGTACATGCCAAAGGGGTTTCATAGAAGGCATTTTCGCGGAGTCTGGTAGACTGGCCCCCAGTCTGGGATGAGCCCCACACGTAGGGCTGTGGTTGCTCTCTTATGGCAACAGAATAGAGACAGATTTCAAAAGATAGTCACTAGAGGACCTTTAATAATAGCTTACATGTACCTGTATGAACTACCATTTTCAAGTGTCCAAAGCAACACAAATATTCGTTACGCGAATACACTGCGTCTGTTTTTGTCACGTGACGTACAGCCACAAGAGAATGCAGATGTGTGCGGATCGTCGAGGGATGACAGGTGAGGATGGCAGAAAAAACTCCTTTTTTGCCAATAATATAGGTTAAGCACTACAAAATACACTAGAGAACAGTAGTTCCATGTATAGGTTACAACCCTTTAAACACAAAAAATTATTTGGTAATTATTGGCTTCTAATGGGGAAAAATCTAGGCGTCAGCACTTTCATGAAAATTTAGTAATGGTCACATGCGCTGAATAATCATGAATGTACATGTATGTACACATGTACAAAGTGTGTTTACATCTTCAATCCATGCAGTACAATCATCAGTCACTGTATCGCAGTTGTATGGCATGAGGTGAAGTAAAACTTCTCCTTGTAAACTGTACTTAATCTAAGGTTCTCCCTATATGAACTATATTTGTGTACACATGCATACATGTACGTGTGTGATAATCCACTTAGCATGCTGTGTGTCTTGGAATTTAGAATTCTATTCTTCTGATTTGTGGCAAGGGCAATAAAATTCAGAATGTCTCCGAACATACATGTATGCACTGGAGTGCAAAACCTCAAGTGCACCCAGTGATAGCAGTCAGCGTGGGTGCATTGTGCCCATGACACAAAGACAAGTGTGTCAATTTTTTCAGTTCTACGGGTTGAAATCTCTTGCACTTACAACACAAGTCACTAGAACCAAGAAGCTGAGAATCGTCATCGCTATTTTCTACATCAGTGACCATCATTGGTAAATTTTTTTTTCTTTGTTTTATTTTGTTTTGTATTCCTGACGTACAAGTAGAAGGCTTCTGTGAATTGTCACTGTTGCTTAGCTTTTGTTTCTTCAGTTGACTCTGATGTTTCCAGATGTCATCTAAAACCACATCTTCAGTGATGGCTTTACCTCCAACTACAGAACTGAGAACTTCTCGCTTTTTGGTGGGTTTAGCATTCTTCTTAAGCAACTTTTCAGTTTTTCTGAAATAGTCTGTGCACTTCTCAGTAGTGTCATCAGCGTGTGATGTTTCAGCTGCAGTGGCCAAAGGTGTATAGGCATCGGTACCTTCTGAATCACCCTCTGTAGTTGAAAAACACTGTTGCTGGCTGAAACTTAGATGGGTTCACAGCAGATCGGTCAAAGGGATAAATGCCACACTTTCGGACAGATGACTGCAGGTTGTTTGGAGTAAGGGCACATGTGTATGCCTTGCAAGCTATTTCACAAAGATAGTACCTGTCGATCCCAGATGCTGCATGCTGTCACATGTACATTGTAAGTGTGTTGCATATCATGTGCTGGTAGTACAGAGAGAATTATATTCCTCTTTTGTGCCCATTCAATGACGGACAGCAACACATGAGATTAACATGAGAATACATCACTTGACCCCTCATCGTCTCGACGGCTGTTCCATGTCAAGACGTATGTAATAAACGGACTGAGCGATAAGATACTACATGTACCAATGGGCTCTTCCAAAACTTTGGCAGCAGTTTAGATGTCTTGACATGGAAGAGCCGTCGAGACGATGATGGGTCAGGGACGTAATGTTCAACGACCTTATTTTAAAGATGGCGACTGTGAGAGTGAGCCCGTTAGATTGAATGGATGGCAAAAAGACTGGAAAATACCTCAATAACGTGAGTGAAATCATTCAATAAATAGTTTTTAGAAAGCAGAAAGGTCAAGAATCATGTTCGTGTGCAAAAGAAATTGCACCCACGATTAAAAGTGGGTGCGCCGAAAATGTTCAGTACGCCGACACGAAATTGCGCATACGGATGTGTGGCTAAGGATGGATCGGGAGTGAGAGTCCGTGCCACACTAGTAGTGGGGCTAGGGTAGGCCTACATGTATGTGTACACGACATGCATGTTTAATAGAAGGGTACAGGCCTAGAAAAATTCTTTTTATTCTAGACGGACACTCGACGAACCCTATTCATATGACAAGTGAACATCTACAACCAAAGTTACACTTACAGGTTACAGGGGAGACTGAGAGAAGATTAACACCGGTACCTGGGTAAGCTGCATGTACCTCTTCAAATCAGACGCCATTTTAATACCACGGAGAAACGTGTTTGGTACCTGCACTTACTCACCAGGCGTAAACGCATTCGTACTGGACGTTGGAAAGTGCCAGACTTTACAGGCTGAATGGGTTTTCTTTTCGAAATTTTGGCTTCATTTCGGCTTTGGCTTTCAGACTTCGTCAGTTTGAACATGGTTTTGAGTACCCCAGTAAATCGTCAAGAGCTATTAAACACCAGCTCCATATGGAGCAGCCTCCCATTATATTTTGGTTCTGAAATATCGAGTTGCCTGATGTGAAGATAAGCGCCGCGGGAGATGTCTGGTCCCAGTAGACGTTCAAAATGCCACGGCAGCACCAGTCTGTGACTGTGACGGGAAACAGAGATCGTTCTCGTGGCCCTTCTCTCTAACAACCACGGACTTGAAGATCTTGCCCCGTACTAGTCAGAATGCCCCCCTCCTCATCAAACTCGGAGACTGTCGCCAGGACTCAAAGACCCCACTACGTTGTAAAATTCCACCAAAAACGTGGCTAGGACGGGATGAGACTGGGGAAATTGGAAGGAAAATTGTTCTTTCAAGATCGTACTAAGTATACTGCGTTAATTATTATCATTATTAGTGTATTATTATTTATTAATGTAGAACCAGAAAACTTGAAAACACGTGTAAAAATTCCAAGGACAAGGATTAGATGAGATAGGCCTAAAAGCCAGCAGCAAATGCCAGAAAGAGAAACTGCTCACTTAATAACTGTGAGCCAAAGGGCCCCCCTTCCAAACCTATGACTATATGTGAATATGTATTCTAATAGAATTAAACAAAATTAAATTAAATTAAATAGGCTATAAATAAATAACAAAAATGTAACATATAATATTAGGTAGGATCTCGACATAAGAAAAACACATTATGTTTAGGAAGGGCTCATCACATGTTAGCCCTCAGAAAAAACCAGGCATAAAAAATCCAATTTAAGGGGGTGAACTTTTAAGGGGTAAAACAATCACTACTAAAAAGCGGGTCTTTCTTGATGTAATTCTTAGTGAAGGTATCAGTGTTTGAAGCTTCCCTTATTTTGACTGGTAAATAATTCCATTCAAAAAAGGATCCTGGGTATGAGGGAGAATTTGTTGTAAGCTATTGTGCCGATTGATGGGACAAGGAAATATGAAATATAGAAAAAGTTTTCCGTGTTGTAATCCCCCCTCTGTCAGATTTGACCCGGTGATGATCCGTGTTCAAGTCACTGATGTACTTGATTTATAGAATAACGCGAGTCTACTGGTGGCCCTACGCTCCTCCAAACTATTCCTTCCCAGGTTTTGAAACACTTCTTTTTGTCAGAAATCTCTGCATACAGATCTTGCCACTCTGTCTCCGCTGGAGAGCTTCTAGTCTTTGTATTTATTAATTTCTTTTGTGTGTGTGTGTGTGATTTTGGTGGTACGGATCCCAGACACTAGCACAATATTCCAGCTTAGGACTTTTGTAGGCAATCCCCTTCACCCTTGGAGAGCAGCTGTAGAGGTTTTTACAGAGTAACCCGAGCATTTTGTTTGCCTTGGAAGAGACACTGCTTATATTAGCCCAACTCAGTTTGTGATATATTTCTACTCCAAGGTAAGTATGACTTTTTGTCTTCTCGAGTGGTTTTCCATTCATCATGCAGGTAGACAACATGATCTGCCAACTTAACTCCCATTTGCTGAGCATAATTATGTCGTCTGCAGAGCTTGAGCATCATTCCTTGTCTTTATTTCTCGATACAGGATACAGTCATCTGTTAAGATCCTAAATTGTAATATAATTCATGAGGTAACGTCGTTGAGGTGTACACGAGTATGAAAAAAAAAGAAAAAAAAACGCCCGGAACATGAATTTGTTTGTTACATTCATCAATAGAGGGCGCTGTTCAATGGGCGCGTTGGATATTTTGGCTCACACTTCATCTGGAGTCGCCATGCATATTTTTAGTTACCCAAAGTCGTAAGTGGAATTCATTCAATGCCTTATTTAAATTTCCTTTGTTTGGTTCTCATAGGTTCTTTATGGGTATTTGGGATACGTTTCAGCGTTTACTGGGGTAGAAAATACAACAAAAATAGAGACAATTTACAAAGTTATGGCTGTGATTAGGTATAGTCGGACTCACCAGGCCAAC